AGATGCATCTATGGATGCATGACAAGGTGCGGTTGGCCTTCCTGACTGCCTCCCCACACTGCCGGCCCATGTTCATCTTGGAGTCAATGATGACTCCAAGATCCTTTTCCGCCTCCGTGCTGACAAGAGGGGAGTTCCCCAACCTGTAGGTATGGTGCCGGTTGTTCCTCCCCAGGTGCATCACTTTGCACTTGTCTGTGTTGAATCCCATCCTATTCTCATCCGCCCACCCTTGTAACCTGTCTAGGTCCAATTATAGCCTATTGCTCCCTTCTAGCGTGCCTGAATTCCCTAACCTACAAAATTGACACTGAGAATGGAATAGAACTAACTGGGTCTGTTTCCAGAGTACACAGGCAAAGCACAGATCTGGCCTATATGAATAGCAGCACTCCTTATACTCTTTATTCCATCCCACCCTTGCCCCCTTTTCAGAATACTGCTCTGGAAAGCACCTTGACAGATACTGAAACCCGCAATAGCCACCAGCTGTCAGAGCTCCAGTGTCTGATTAGCAACATGGAGGCGCAGCTTGCAGAACTTCCGTCTAACATACAACACCAAAACAGCGAGTACAAGGCCCTCTTGGATGTGAAGAGCCAGCTGGATTGTGAGATTAGTGCTTACCGTAGGCTACTGGATGAAGAGGACTGCAAGGCATATCACACAAGTGATACACAGACACAAAGCTGCTGATAGTAAGTACCCATCTATACAAAGATCTGCCAATAGGATTAGAAATAATGTTTTAAAAATAAAAAGGCCCTCAGTGTTTTATGTACCTTACCTGTATAGTTAAGGAAGTCTTTCTGGATTTCTTCAGAATTCCCTTTTAGCTGAGGCACAGATCAACCGAAAGGATTAGTGAATTTTCTAAAGCACACTTTCTTCTGCTGAAATTGCTGTTTCACTTGGAGATTAGTTCAGAAATGTGCATCACTCATGTGCATCATTTCCAACTTGGATTCTTCCACATAGTTTCATAGATTTAGGGTTGGAAGGGACCTAGTAGATCTTCTAGCCTGACCCCCCGCCAGGGCGGGAGAACAACAAAACCCCAAAACAAGAAACAGGACTCAAATGAGTCCAGCCAGGTAGGCATCCAGCCTCTTCTTAAAGACCCCCAGGGTAGGGGCCAGCACCACTTCCCTTGGAAGTTGGTTCCAGCTCCTAGCCGCCCTAACTGTGAAGTAGTTTTTGCGGATGTCCAATCTATACCTCCTCTCCATCAACTTGTGCCCATTACTCCT